CAGGCAGAAATCCCTTCCCAATACCAAATCTAAACCTGCTCTGTCAGTCTGAGTCCATTCCCTGTGTTCTGTCCCTCCATGCCTTGTCCCCAGTCCCTCTCCAGCTCTCCTGGAGCCCCTTTGGGTCCTGGAAGGGCTCTGAGCTCTCCCTGGAGCCTTCTCCTCTGCCAGCCTGGCTGCAGCCCTGCAGCAGCTCCATGTCCCTCCTGTGCTGTGTCCCCAGGGCTGGGGCAGCTCTGCAGGCTCTGGGAAGGTGGGAGGCTCTGGGAAGTGGCACTGCTTCCCAGGAGGTGTTTGGGGCACCCAAGAGGACAGCAAGGTGTTGAAAAGTGCGCGCAGGGAGGGAAACGATCCATCAGAGAGTGATCCATTGGCTCACACACAAACAAATCCTCTGGTGCAGAGCTCTGGCTGGGCTGGGGAGATAAACCTTTGGATGGTCCACAAAGGAACCACTTCCACTCGTTCCGCTGTCAACTTCTGGTTTTGTGTTTTGGGGGGGGTTTTTTGTTTTGTTTGGGGTTTTTTTTTCTTTTTTGGAGGGTTGGTGGTTTGGTTTTTTTTGGTGGTTTTTCTTTTTTTGGTTTGGTGTTTTTGTTTGTTTGTTTGTTGGGGGTTTTTTATTTGTTTGGGTTTGTTTTTTTGTTTTTGTTTGTTTTCTTTTTTCAAAATCGTAGCAAGGAGCTGTTTGTGATGTGATGATCACTTCCCAAGTGTGAGAAGGCTTTGGATTTCTATCTCCAAGGCAGCCCCTGGCAGATGCTCTGAGCAGCTCCAGAGCGGGGCAACCATGGGAAAAGGTGATGGGAAAAGATCCACTGGTGGGGATTCACTGTGTTGGCCTCCCTGGTGGGAGATGGCAGCTAAGCCCAGCATATCTGAGGGTTTATCAGCCTCCAGGAGAATGTTTCAAGCCGATTGCCTTGCTCCAGGGAAGTGAAACCCAAGGGCTCCGTGCTTTCCCCGAGGTGCTGAATGCCCAGGGAGCAGCCAGGCTGCCAGGAGAAGGGATGGGAGCCAGGCTGCCAGGCTGCCAGGAGAAGGGCTGCCAGGCTGCTGGCAGCCTCCAGCTCGTGTGCTGGGAGCTGCCAGGGAGCGTGGCAGGGCTCAGCGGGAGTGCACGCAGCTCCAACGGCAGTGGAGCAGCCCACGGGGCTGTGGCACTCTTCAGGCATGGTCCTGCAGCCAGGAAAAGCCCTTTTCCCACTGGAAAAGCCCTGCTCTCAGCCTGGCAGGCCAAACCCAGGGGCACATCAGGACCAGACCCATTCTAGTCCCAGCCCCAGCCTGCCACCAGCCCAGGCTGCTGCCAGCCCCATCCAGCCTGGCCGTGGGCACTGCCAGGGATGGGGCAGCCTCTCTGGGCACAGAATCCCTCCTAACCCCTCATCCAAATCCGTTCTCTGTCGGTTTGAGGCAGGCTTGTCCTGAACCCAATCCCAAGGTGCCACCATCACCCAGAAGATGGAGGCTAGGAAGAAGAAGGGAGAAGGACAGGACAATGCCCAGATCCCTCCATCTTGCCCCCTAGACCCCCATAGTAAAATTCCTCAAAATTCCACCTTTCACCCTGTGACAACTGCTGTTATGCTGCTTAAACTTTTGTGCCTTGTAATTCTTCATATAAAGTTGGCAGTTTGCTCCGTGGGTCGAACTCAAAGCCACGGGGGTCTTTGTCTGCACACCAGGGTCTCCAAGCCCCTGCCAGGGCTTTGAGCCACCCAGGGCGCCCAGAGGGATGTCCTGGCTCCCCAGGTGCCACCTTCCCAGGCTGCAGGACCCAGGGCTGGCTGAGCTGCTGTCATTCCACCTCGTGCCTCCCTATCGGAACACCCAGCACCAGAGCAGGCTCCTGTGATTCCCCGAGAACCCAGCCAAGCCAAGGTCAGCCCCGGCTTCCCACACGCTTCCATATCTTCTTCCAGACTCCCCCTCGCCCGTGATGCCCTGCCGTGTGCCAACACAAGAAGCCTGCAATAAATCTGCCTCCCAGGAGCCTGGTGTTTGTTCCCAGCTGCACTGGTCAAACCCCACGTGCAGCCAGCCACAATCTGCTCGGCTGGATGTAGGGGTTCAGCCAAGACAGGCACACTCCCAGTGTTATATCAGGTTTTTTTACTTAGGTCTTATAAGCTTTTGGAGGTCTTCAATACACTAAAGATAGTTTAGTTACTTTTGGAGGCATCAAAATCAGCAGGATGGCGTCTGCTGCAGTGTTGGCAACAAAAAGGTTTAATAAAAGGCAAAATAACAAACAGAAAATACCGAGTCAGGTGCAAAAGGGTTTTGCTTCTGGTAAAACACTTTACAAAAGTGATTAGTTTCTGTGTTCACTCCTTTCTCTAGTTAATTGCCCAGGCGGGACTTTTGGCTCCTGTCCGATTGGCTGTCCTTAAGTTTGAGGGGAAGTCCCCCAGGTCCTATGGGGTGGCTTTTCACCTAATCGAGGAGAGAAACTTCTGGGCTTCTTTCCTTTCTGAGGGGACAAAGGGTAGTTTTGTCACTCGGTCAACAGAGGGCACATTCCTGCATCCCAGCGCGCTGGGAGCCTCTCCTTGCTGCAGCCACAGCTCTGCCAGGGGGGCTCTGCTCCTGGGGCTGAGCCCATTGCCCATCGCCTGCCAGGGAGCATCTCTGAGCCCTGGCGTGAGCACTGCAGAGCTGCAAGTCCTCCCCCGGCTCCTGAGGCGAACCCAATCCATCCTTCCCTGGCCCATCCCTGTTTCCCAGCCCCTGGAGCAGCCCGCTTTGCTGCCGGGGACGCTGGTCAGGCTGCCCCAGCCCGTGCATCCCAGGGACAGCAGCCAGGCTGCAGCCGGGCGTGGGACAGGGACCCTGGGGCAGCTGCCACAAGGTGGCACTGGCCTCTTGTCACCCAGCCTGGTGGCACCCGGCCGGCCCCGCCAGGCTGGGGCTCCCGGGGCGTCCCCCTGCCCTGCCCTGGTCCGAATTTGCCGAATTTTTTCTCCGCTGGATGGACAGTGGAGCTGCCAATGGATCACAGCAACTGCAGCAGCTGGGTCTTGCAGGAGGGATTTTCACCCTCACAATCTTCCTGATCAGGGATGAGCAGCATTTTTTTTCCCCCCAAATTTTTATATTTTTATGGCATGCTATCCTTCCACAGGGTTTTCCGCCTGGGGTCACAGCATCAGAGGAGATTCCGGAGTCACCAGATGCAACCCTCTCCCCCAGAAGTGGGAAAAGCAAGAATTCCACCTCGCTGGGGGGATTTTGGGGTAGCAGGCTCACCACCCGGCCCCCATTCCATCCCATGCTCCCACATCCTGGCCCTGGCTGCTCCACAGCTCATCCCGCTGGAAGGGCAGGCGTGGAGGAGGACAAACCCCGGCCAGGCGGAGGAAAAGGATCAGCACAGTGTCCCTGTCCCTCCTGGCCCCACTCCCTGGTTTATTTGCTGTTGAAGGTTTGTTTTCCTTTCCCAGCGCTGCAGGTGCCGCACAAACAGAGCGAAGCCTCGGGAGCCAGGTGCCCGAGGACACCAGCGAGCCCTGCCTGGCTCAGGAATCCCCTGGGATCAGCCGGAATGGGCTTCCCACTGCCCCTGCCCCGGGATTTGTGCCCAGGCCGAGGGCAGGCACACCAGGACCGGGTCGCTGCCCTGCCCCAAACACGCTCACAGCCACTATTATTCCCTGGATTAGGGCTTGGCGTCACTGCTTGGGCTCGGGATTGCAACGGATCTTGGCCTTGGAATGCAGGCGGAAGGGCCCCGCGGGCCAGCTAATCTAGCTGCAATTAAAGGCCTTCATTATGCCATTAGAGCAGGTTGGGACAGCGACACGGCGCTGCCCCACCGCCTGTTTCCAAGGACAGGGACATTTGCTCTCCTGGACACCGGCCACCCCACTCCAAGCCAGCTTCCCAGCGAGCCAAAGCCAGGGAGCCCGGCAGGACCCAGTGGATCCCCTTCCCGTCCTCCGCTGCACCCTCGCCCCGTGGAAAACGCATTTGGGACCGGCGGGACAAAAGGCCAAAGCTGCAGCTGACAGCAGGAAGGAAGCAGGAAAGAGCCCGGCATCGCCATCCGGAGCCTGGAGAGGCCTTGGGAGATGCCTGGAGCCACAGGGTCCGGCCAGGCCCGCAGCGTGCCCACGGCTCCGGGAGGGCTGCCCGCACAGCGGGGACAGAGGGACACAGGGACTGAGGGACACAGGGACAGAGAGACAGAGAGAGAGACAGAGGGACTGAGGGGCAAAGGGACAGAGAGACAGAGAGACAGAGAGACAGAGAGACAGAGGGACAGAGGGACTGAGGGACAGAGAGACAGAGGGACAGAGGGACAGAGAGACAGAGGGACAGAGAGACAGATGGGCAGAGGGACAGAGAGACAGAGGGACAGAGAGACAGAGGGACAGAGAGACAGAGGGACAGAGGGACAGAGGGACAGATGGACAGAGGGACTGAGGGACAGAGAGACAGAGGGACTGAGGGACAGAGACACAGAGGGACAGAGACATAGAGCATCCATCTGGGAATGCTCGCTCCATCCAGGGGATCTGTCCCATCCTGGGCATTTGTCCCATCCCTCTCCATCCCAGGGTTTTGTCCCATCCCGGGGGATTGTCCTATCTCACTCTGTCCGGAAGGTCTGTCCCATCCCAGGGATGTGTCCCATCCCACTCCATCCCGGGGGTTTGTCCCGTCTCGGGGGATTGTCCCATCCCACTCCATCCCAGGCTCCGCTCGGAGGAGAAGCAAACACGAGAGCCCCGGAGCCCAGCTCCATCCCAGGGTTTTGTCCCATCCCAGGGTTTTGTCCCATCCCGGGGGTTTGTCCCATCCCGGGGTTTGTCCCATCCCAGGGTTTTGTCCCATCCCGGGGGATTGTCCCATCCCAGGGATTTCTCCCATCCCGGGGGTTGGTACTATCCCGGGGGTTTGTCCCATCCCGCTCCATCCCCTGGCTCTGGCAGAGCCGTGCCCCAGGGATCGCCCCAGGCTCCGCTCGGAGGAGAAGCAAACACGAGAGCCCCGGAGCCCAGCACCTCCTTTAATTCCCTGCCAGAGCAGCAGGGCCCAGCCCAGCTCAAACATCACAGCGTCCCAGCACCCAAAACCCCCCTAAGCATGGCCACAGCTGCTGGCAGCCCAGGGAGGGCTGATCTGAGCAGGGAAATGGGGAAATATTCTCCTTGAAGGCTCCTGCCAGCCCCGCAGGCCACGGTGGGAAAGGAGCTGCCCTGCCAGCCCAGGTGGAGCCCAGGTGGGTCTGCAGGACCAGCACCAGCGTGCAGCTCACATTCCTCCAGCTCCTGCCAGCCTGGACATCCTGGCACTGCTCAGCCTGGACTGAGCTGCTCCATGGAGAGGCGTTCCAGCAGCTCTGGGGGTTCTCAGCAGCTTTGGGGGGCTCCCAGCAGCCTTGGAGGGCTCCCAGCAGCTCTACAGGGTCCCCAGCAGCTTTAGGGGAGTTCCAGCAGCTTTGGGGGGCTTTCAACAGCTTTGGGGGGTCCCAGCAGCTCTGGGGTTCCAGCAACTCTGTGGAGTCCCAGAAGCTCTAGGGGTTCTCAGCAGATTTTGGGGGTTCCCAGCGAGCGGGATGTGCCCAGCGCAGTGGCCCTGAGCCCGGTGGCTCTGGGGACAAGGAGCAGGCCAGTCAGATCATGGAGACCCTGTTCTTGATGCAGACGTGGCAGGGGCTCCAGTGGCTCTGGGGACGAGGCGTGGGCCATCTCAGATCATGGAGACCCTGTTCTTGATGCAGACGTGGCAGGGGTTGCAGGGGACGAGGCGCGGGCCATCTCAGATCATGGAGACCCTGTTCTTGATGCAGACGTGGCAGGGGCTCCAGTGGCTCTGGGGACGAGGCGTGGGCCATCTCAGATCATGGAGACCCTGTTCTTGATGTAGACGTGGTAGGGGTCGCTGCGCTTGTCCACCTTGCGGGAGCGGGTGTAGCCCAGGATGAGGCTGCCCACGGTGGCGGCGAAGAGCGTCATGACGAACAGGATGTACATGTAGGCGTTGGCGTTGGCGTGCTCCCCGCGCGCGGCCGCCCTGGCCGGGCTGGCCCGGGCCTGGCCCGGGCAGGGCACGGCGCCGTGCAGGGTCTGGTTCAGGGCGCCCAGCAGCGCCTGCAGGCCGCGCTGCCACGGCTCCGTGCGGTTGGTGCCGTCCATGTCCTCCGCGGGCTGCGGGGGGACAGGCTCTCTCAGAGGGGTGCCCCCATGGTGAAACTGCTCCCGGGGCCCAGCACGGCCCCAGACTGCTCCTCTGCCACAGGGCGGGGTGGCCAGGCCCTTTGCATTCCCAGCAGCATCTCCCTGAATTTCAGTCCTTCCACAGAGGACACAAAGCTCTGCTTTCCCCAGGGATGTCTGGGGATGGTGGGCACATTCCTGCAGGGTGCAGAGCTGGCACAGCCCCCCACAGGTCTCTATGAACCCATTTTGAGGGGTTGCTGCCCTAAAGCTCCCTGGGGATCTCCCTCCCCTGTGGGTGGCAGACCCGCTGTGACCTGCCATCCCTCCTTTGGCGTGGTGCCCTTCTGGCAGCCCCCCGGGCTCCCCTGTGCACCCCCACAGCGTGCTGGGGCCCGGGCAGGAAGGGACATGGCACACAGCCCCCACGTGTGCCATGCTTTGGGACACACCAGTCCCTGCCTGCTGCTGTCCCCCAGGGATCCAGCCTGTCCCCAGCCTGTCCCCAGCACCCCTCGCCTGCTGCACCCACAGCCCTGCCCTCGCAAGGCAGCTGATCCCAAAGGGGCCACCCCAAACTCGGGGAGCACCTCCAGGACAGACCCCTGCCGCGAGCACGAGGAGGAGGAGGAGGAGGAGGAAGGGGCTGAGCAGCCACGAGCCCGCGGGGATGAGGTCGGATCTGGCTGCCTTGCCGGCCGAATTAGGGAAAGTTTGGGGCAAGATCCGTGTCTGTCCCAGGAGGGCACCCACAGACGGGGCACGGCCTGGGGGCACCCGCGCTGGGGGCTGCGAGGGCAGGGAGGGGAGCGGGGCTCGCACTCACCTCGGGTGCCCTCCGCGCCGCCGCCGGGCTGAGCCGGGACTGAGCATCGCTGCCCGGGGAGGGATGCGGCGGGCTGGGAGCGCCGCCAGCCTCCTCCCCTTCCCGGGCAGAGCCACCTGCGCGGCCACCGCCGCCGGCCCGGCCCCGCTGTGCCAGCGCCGGCTCCCCCCGCCTTCCCCGGCCACGCTTTCCTGCCCCTCCTCGTCCGGCACGGCTGTCCCCGAGCCTGACACGGCACCGAGCCTGCCCGGGCACGTCCCGCCCGGAGCTCAGCCTGCCCCATTCCCCCTCTGGGAACCCACTGGGAACCCGCGGGGCTCGCAGGGAGCTGCCGAGCTGGGCACGGACACCCCACAGTCGTGGGGCAGGAGACGGCACAGCCCAGCAGCGAGGGGCTCGGGGTGGGGGACAGGTCCTGCTCTGAGCGAGGTGTGGGCACTTTAACCTCAGGCTGGCTTCTGAGCCCAGAACAAACCCATCCACGAGCTCAGCTCAGGGTGCTGGGACAGCCATTCCAGCAGGGCAGACCCCGTGGCAGCAGGTCTGGAATCTCGTGCAGTCCCACAGGATCCACGGCAGCCGTGGCTTCTCTCCCTGCGAGCCTTTTCCCTCCTCCCTCCCCTTTTCCACAGTGCCCCAGTGGCCTTTCCAGCAGCGCCTTCAGCCACCTTCCTCCCTCCCTGGCGCCAGGATCTGCCACGTGAGAACTTCCCTGGGCCCGGGGTGAGAAAAAGGCTGTCCTTGATAAAGCCTTGGGGTAAATAAATGAGAAAGGGATCGGCAGCCGAAGTTCCCAGCAACGCTCTTTATACATAAAATCTGCCTCTTTCAGCAAGGGAAGGGTGACCCACGTGAGCTCATGTGAATTCATGAGCATTCACACAAATCTTTAATTTTTGTGGGGCCAAAAGCAGAAAAAACCCCACAAAAGCACCTGTTTGGGTACTTCCCCAGCAAATGACGTGGGGACATGGTACCCAGGGAGGCCTCAGCTGAGGGATGGAGGCTCACAGGGCAGGACAGAGCACCACCAGTGCAGGTTTGGATGGTCAGTGGTACCCAGGGAGGCCTCAGCTGAGGGATGGAGGCTCACAGGGCTGGAGAGAACAGCCCCAGGGCAGGTTTGGATGGTGAAGCAGCAGCCTGAATCCCTGTGCCACGGTCCACTCACAGTCCACAGGCAAAGGCACGAGAACTGGTCTCACAAGAGAGACCCCAGGGCTGCCCTGGCACCAAAGCACCCGGCCAGGGCAGCACAGCAATCCTAATCCCCGGGCTCCTCCGAGGAGACCAAAGTGCACTCAAAGACCTCCTGGAAGGAGTCGAGGAAGGGCTCGAGGACGTGGCTGACGGCGACGTGGTGGCCCAGCTCGCGGCTGAGCGAGGTGACGCCCTTGCCCTCCAGCCCGCAGGGGACGATGTGCTCGAACCACGAGAGGTCGGTGCAGCAGTTCAGCGCCAGCCCGTGCGACGTGATGTGGTTCCCGCAGTGCACGCCTGCGGGGAGAGAGCAGCCACCCATCAGCAGCATCACCCCTGCCCTGCTGGGACAGAGCACACTGCCCAGACCGGTATCAGCATCCTCCCCCCGGCACGCTGTGCTCCTTGCTGCCAGGGGAAACACACAGACAAAGCTGGGGCAGATGGGGTGCAGCATGTCCAGACCCTCCAGCCCAGCCCTGCAGCCCCAAACACCTCCCACCCTGGAGTTTCCAATGGGATCAGGCATGGGGAGAGCTGCAGGGCCCCAGGAAGGGGCACAGGATGTGGAGGGATGCAAGGGAAGAGGGCAAGGCTGGGGACTGGGCTGCAGGCTGGCAGACCTGGGAGCAAGGGATGCCAAGTGCTGCGGGCCGGGTGGGCTGCACGTTCTCCAAATTGTGCTGCCCCCTCCTCAGGAGGCCAATCCCACTCCTACACACTCCCCGGCGCCCACCCTGCTCGGTGCCTACAGCTCCAGCTTCCCGCAGGGCTCTGCCCCTGTGCCCAGGGAATGGCAGGATGGGTTGGGCTGGGAGGTGTTCCATGGGCAGGGAGGTGTTCCATGGGCAGGGACACCTCCCACCGTATCCCAGGCTGCTCCAAACCCCATTGTCCAACCTGGCCTGGGACACTGCCAGGGATCCAGGGGCAGCCACAGCTGCTCTGGGCACCCTGTGCCAGGGCCTGCCCACCCTCACAGGGAACAATTAACATCCCATCCATCGCTGCCCTCTGGCAGTGGGAGCCATTCCCTGTGTCCTGTCCCTCCATCCCTTGTCCCCAGCCCCTCTCCATCTCCCCGGGAGCCCCTGCAGGGGCTCTGAGCTCTCCCTGCCCGCTCCGTTCGGCACCCCGGCTGCCAGCGGGGCCGTCCCCGCTCACCGATGGCACAGAGCTTGCTGTCGCCCATCCACACGCCGGTGCAGGGCGGCGGCAGGGCGCGGGCCGAGCGCAGCCCCAGGCGGCGGCACAGCCGCAGCACCAGCGCCTCCAGCCCGGCCACGTAGGCGCGGAGCGGGAGGCGGCGGCGGCGCAGGTCGAGCACCGGGAAGGCCAGCAGCTGCCCGGGCCCGTGGAAGGTGATGTGCCCGCCGCGCCGCGCCGCCACCAGCGCC